ATTAGTATTATTGTTGTTCTTACTAACATTTTGATGTATTAGATTTTTTAAAAATATTTTTTATAGAAGTTTTCTTGTCTCCTAATCTTTTAGCTCTCTTAAATCAGTTTTTTTCCTTAAGAATTTCAGAAAATCGGTTTGTATACTTTCACTCTGAGCTTACGAAGGTATTTCTTCCTAAGTCTACTTTCAGTGTTCTTGCCTGTTACAAACTCTGATAGCATCCTTACAAGTTCTTTTTTTTTTTTTTTTTACTCTATTACCTTGTTTTTACGAATTGGTCAGAATTAGGTTTGACATACTAATTCTCCTTATCAGTGAAACGTGATGTTTTCAGCATGAAAAACAACTTTCCCTGGACAGAGAGAGGCAATTTTTCTCCTTGGTATTCCTTTGGCATTTTTTCTGACTTTTGTATTTTTTTTTTATGTTACTGTCACTTCCATTTTTTTTTTTTTTTTTTAGTTAGTAACTTGGCCACATGTTTTCTGAACTACAGGTTTAGGTTCTTGAAGGCAGATGCCCTGTTTCCTTTGTTTTTGAATTTTTCATAGCATCTAAAACAGTGTCTCACAAAATAGTTTGTCTGTGAAAAACGTGTTGAGTGCATCTATCTATGATCAAGAGTGATAACATGTATTTTAAAGAACTAGAAACCATGATTATTGTCTTCTTTATTATAGGTTTTTACAAGTGCTTCCTGCTTGCACCGAGGATGAGAAACTGCTGATAGATATCATACATTTTTTCAATAAGTTAATGAAGGAACAAGGAAGAAATTCACCAGTAGAGTTTCTAAACTGGATTCTAGAATTACTTCTTAGTAATGTAAGTGTTGTTACGGAATTTGCATTTTAGGTTTTAGAAGTGATTTCTTTGTAGAAATCAATATTATGGAAAAGTACAATCTTTATATAGCCTATGCTTAGTATAGAAGTCTTCATGTTATAATGAATGGTTAATAGCAACGTAGCCTTCCTGATATGATTGTGACTGTGTTTATTAAAATTCTGTAGAGTGAATGGGATCTTCAGTCTTGATGTTTAACAAAACCTGTTCTGTAGTTGAGCTTTCTGTGGCAACTGTATTTTTAGGTGGGTAATCTCAGTGGAAGGGTGGGGCGGGTACATAAAGGAATGTGGAGAGGTAGGTAGCAAAGCCAGGTGGAGGCAGGAGGGGGTATAGTGATAGGGAAGTTGGAAAGAATGAGTAAAACAGTGCTCAGGCTTTAATATAAGGCTACTGGAATATTTACTTCTCCTGTCACCACTGCTTTCAGATTTTTAGCTGACTGTTCTAAGAAACTTGCTAGAACCCAAGAGGCTAGCTCACTGTCTGTTGTCAGACTGTCTATTTATGTATTTATTTGCAAATACCATATGAATTTACATAGCAAAGATAAACTCACTGCCCTGTTTTTATGTAGTCATACTTATCAGTTTCTTACTCTATAGGTTCCAAATTATGTATCTTCTTAGGACTATCTTCTCTACTCAAAAGTTTTGAGTAAGCACTCCCATGTTTTCTTTTATAGCTTTTATGGTTTTATTTTTGTTTACATCTTTATTCAGCTGGAATTTCTTTTGATGTAAAGATTATTTTTTTGAATGGTTAGTGGTTTCCCCATATCATGTATCTCCCCCATGATTTGAATTGCCAGCATTTTTTTTTAAAGTTAATTTTCTGTTTGTACATAGCTCTTTGATTGACGTTGTGTTATGTTCCTTTGATATGACTGTAATTTCTGAAGAACTAGATTTTTAAATTATCTTAGCAAATTTCCTCTTAAAAAACTTTATTTTTTAGGCTGGCCCGTGGCTCACT